GGGAGGGAAGGCCGCGAACGTCAGGAACAGAGGAAAATATTACTGCTGTGAGGAAAATACTTAACGAAGACCGGAGACATACCAACTGATAGAGACCTTACACCGTCATGCAAGAGCAGAAGACTCGTCGTATGACTTCGTGCCAGACGATGCTCAAAATGTTCGATAAGGGACAATCTCGGTATGTGAACAGCATCGTGACAGGTGACGAGACTTGGCTCTATTATTAAGATGTGCCGACCAAGGCTCAAAATAAAGTTTGGGTCTTTCAGGATGAGGACACACCCGTAGCTGCCGGAAAATCTTGATCTGTTGAGAAAAATGATAGCTGACACACAGAAGACAGTCACAGCTAGAACAGTGCCTGCCTAAAGTCATAGAGTCTATGAAAAACCTGCCGCCAAAATCAAGAATGGACACTTGGTACCTCCACCATGACAACGCTCCATCTCACCGCGCCAAAGCCTGCACCGATTATTTGACCACTACTGGACTGAAACCAATTGAGCACCCTCCTAACAGTCCAGATCTTGCTCCCTGCGACTTTGCACTGTGAAAATGAAGCTAAAAAGATAACTCGGCAGAGCTGGTTTAAGGACTGGTTTTGGCGGATGGAGAAGTGTATTGAATGCGGTGGAAATTACTTTGAACGACTTCAATAATTAAAGCTGTATTGCAAAACTTTTATTAAACCCTTTGTATGTTTAGATTTCCATTTATTGTACGACGTTTCGACCACCACTGTGTCCTTTCTCAAGTACAATTTACAATTATTATGTGACAACACATATTTTGTTTTCTGACTTCCAGATGACATTTCCTTTTTTCTCTCTCTTTTCACATCCCTATATCTATATATATCTATATAAAGTCGAAATAACGAAAGATGACTATTACGTCATCATTTTAGTCTATAGTAAAGACAAACGACAGCGATTTGTGGATATTTTTAATGAAGTTTCAGATATGTTAGACAGAGACAAACAGTATTTTATTGTCTAAACAAACTGTATTGCTAATTTGCATGTATCCGACAAAGATAGACGCTGTTTTCATGTTGCATGATCGATCATATTTGAAAGATGAATAGTTAGGTTATGTTAAAGCAGGTTAGGTTGTTTTCGAATAATGCTTTGTTTTTTGGTGTTCCTGTCTTAAGGTATTCTACTCTACTGTTTTTTTTTCAAAACAAAAACTCTCCACTAAAATTATTATTAAGGTGTCACTCAAAACCATGAAATAAAATGAAAATAAAAGTAATCAGTGAAATAACCTTATTTCGCAAAATCATAATATAAATTTGTTGATTGATTACTTCAGTACAATTTATGGTATGACGTAATAGTCATCTTTCGTGATTTTGACAATAGTGTGTTAATATAATAGCCTGAACAGTCCTGTAACATGCTGAGATTGTGCAAAGCTATCATTGCAATTTTAAGATAGAACCGCACTTGCAAAGCCCAAGATGACCTAGGGTATACATTCGTGCTCCCAAAAGAACGTCCTGTCTGACCATTTATATTATTGCACTTTTCATAAGGAACTTAAAAAAAGAGATATTTTTATGGAAGCCTCACACACCATTGATGATTATCCTAGGTCGCAACCATAAAAATGCATGGAATGTCATGGTATGGAATGCAAGATATAATGCGTGACTCGTTAATGTATGAATGGATTAATACCGTTATCATTACAGCCTCTACCGCTTCTGAATCTCTCCGTTAAGGATTTTATCTCGTAAAAGTCATGAATTAACCTTTCTTCATTGAGCTACTCGTACAAAGCCCAAAATGTTATAAAAATTATTTGGCATTAACACAAATACAACAACAACAAAAGTGATTTTCTATAGGTATTATCTATTGTTTAGTATATACGGATGGCGTGGCAAATGGTGTCGCTGCATTCTTTACGCATCTCGACAATTCTATACAATTTTCAGATTTTTTTTGTCAATTTGCCTAATAATATAGTATAGTGAAACTGGAAGACTTTTACTTCTTACGTCCATTGACGAAAAAGTATTGTAATCGCGAAACATTTTGAAAATGGCTCCTTGGCCAATTTATTAGACGCACTGTAAAATATTTTTAATTGTATATGTATTTATATATATATATATATATACAGGGTGTCCGCAAAGTTGGGGTTTTCCTTTACACGACGTGTAGATCTTGAAAACATAAGCAATTTTTCTTAGTACCATATACACCAATATCTTAAGGGAACCGAGATAAAGGGCTCTGCAACATCAAAAATATCTGAATACCGTCCTGTAGCCGCGACCCGCCGGGATATCCCAGACTGGTACAAGGTCTCAACCCGACGGCAGAACTGGGTCGGGGTCAGTGTGTCAGGTTAGTATGCAACCTTCAACCGACGGTTACAGTCACGCGTGTAGAGGTAAACGAACTCGTATAATCGATTGCGTTTCAAAAAACAACAAGCACTAGAGACTTGGCTAGAGAAGTGCAAGTATCAAAAACTAAAGTGTGACAAACGCTGCGTGAAGAGGGGCTGTATCCGTTTCACGTCCAACGTGTACAAGCCCTTCAACCTGACGATTTTCCAGCAAGAGTGCGGTTTTGTGAGTGGTTGTTGCATCAACATGACAATAATCCGGACTTTTTGAAGTGCATATTGGTGACAGACGAATCTACGTTCACGCGTAATGGACTGAATAACTTTTGCAACACTCATGTTTGGTCATTTTCAACAAACATTTTCGGTGAATGTTTGGGCTCCCAAATCGATTGGACGGGATGCAATACCTAGACTTTTCACGCAACATTTTGCCTTCATTGTTAGAAGATGTGCCATTAAGTGTAAGACAATCAATGTGGTTTCTGCTTCTGCTCGGTAGCGCTTCAGCTGATTTCATTTTCTGTTGGAGCGGTATGATTTCGGGCAGAGACGTACTTAACCCTTCTCGTCAACTGGAGAGTGAGTACTTTTTCCTTTATTTTTTTTTACTTGGTCGCCCTCGTTTCACTACACATTACCTTTGTTATTTCAAGGGTAGTTGTTTCTGAAAAGGAAAACCCCAACTTTGCGGACACCCTGTATATATATATAGATTACATGCGATATTTTTTGGAGTCATTAGTTTTATGCAGTACAGCACACATAGCAAGGTCTGTTAAAATTTATTTACAAGAGCAAAATATCCCCTTGTTGGATTGGCCGGGTGAGAAGTCCGATATTAACCCAAAGAAAATGTGTGGAAGCTGATGAAGAAAAAAGTTGCAATAGAAGTCATAACAAACAATATTCAACTCTAGGAAAAATGGAAAAATTATAAAAGCGTGGAATCATCATGCTTAAAAGCAGGATACAGTGCAGTTTTGCATTTACAGCATGCCGCACAGAATTCAAGCACTAATAGCCATACTAGGAAAGTGGTGCTTTAAGTTTTTGGTAAAGAAACTATTCAGCCGTAAAAGCTCTCTTTTGCTGTTGCCTGAACACCAAAATGCTGACTTAATGTTGAGTGCAATGCAAATTTGCTTTCTGCAGCATATCTAAAATGATGTGTCTAAAACATTCATGTAGCGTAGCATAGTTATACAACATCTTATAAGACAAATTTTGAACTGTTACATAAACATTTATACAACAATTTTATACGGCATATTTGCGCGGTAGTCAAAATAGTTGTGTTGTGGCATCCATGGAAACATTTATAGAACAAACTCGAGCCTTGTTTTTTTTAGTGGGCAAAATTACTACTTTAGCCAACAAATATACAATTGTCGTTTAGTAACTGTTAAAGGCTCTACATCTGCAACAATTGGTGTATTTTTTAATTCACCGGTTGAGCAACCGGTGCCACCGGTGGACCAGACATCTGTCCTTTTAATTCAACCGGTTGCTGCCATCACCATACAAAGCTGTCAACAGTGTCAACCATAAGCAGGGCATCCATCAGTGGTGGAATCAATCGGTGAATTAAAGAATCCACCTTTTATCACAACTTTCATACAACTTCACTATAACCTAACTTTCTGCTGTCACCTTTTTAGGTTAAATGCCATAAGCAATATTTTAAGATAAGCAACGCATGAATATTCGTTTTAAAGGTTTTATCACACGCACATTTCATTTCAGAGATTTGATGTATAACACCTGCAGATAACACCATAATGTTCTAATAAACCGAATACTTAACGCCATATTGAGTAATACATAATATATTCCCCTATTGAAAATCAAATACTTAATTCTGATACAGTCCGATATTACAGATATAAAATGATAAAAATGTGTGTAATTGTGTCTAAATTTAGGATTTGTGGAAATCTAGAAATATACGTATTTTTGACCATTATTAAAATATGAATCAAATCCGAAGCCCGTAAAAATAGCGTTGAAGCCCTCGTTAAGTTGCTTATTTTAGGCACTCGTAATAAAAGTGAAACGGTACAGGGTAGTATTCCGTATTTTTATTATGATGGGATTGTTGTTTCTCATGTTTATCATTAAATCTTATAATCATCATCACTACATCACTATCGTATAATGATAATTTGTCTGTTTTTTCACCTTCAATAGTTTTAAATACGTGATAAACTCGTTATCATTTGCATATACCTTCTATTTTCGTTGAAAATTGCTGACCCTGACCGTGGCGTCAGCAATCCTCATTTTATAATTTATTGTTTAGATAGACCATAATCAGCGAAAACTACTTGAAAAACAAGCTATTTGCGAATTTTTAATGCCGCATTGATAAAATATCGTATACCACAATTAATAGTATTATGTTTGTGGTATACAAATTATATACTATTTATTTAACGATAACAGCATTATAGTAGGTAATGATATCTATAGTAACAATTGTTTATGTGAATTTGTTGTTATATAAGTGTCCAATACAAACTTTGCTAGATGGCACTTTTGGATGCTAAATCAAATGAAGCCTTGTAATAAACAAATATGTTAATAAAAAGTCACGGATTTCAAATGCCGCCTTACGAATAGCGAAGCTACAAGCCTCTGTAGCTCAGTGGCAAAGGAATGGTCTTCTAGACCAGAGGTCGCGAGTTCAATCCTCACAGGAGGCAGATTGTGGTGTAACTTTTTTTAACACACTTTTATTAGCTTGATCTGTATGTATATGTGTATGTATGTAACGAAATCTTTCAAAATAATTTTCGCCAATTTCGAGAAGTTAATATCTGTTAATAACAAATTTTATTATAATTTTATTTTGAGGTCATTAATTATGATTGATTGTTCGGCCATCTACTTTTGTAATATAACTCTTTTTAATTAAAAATGATTTTCTACTTTTTAGTTCGGTTAGCTATAAAAGCGTGTTTCTTTTTTGTTTTTTTTTTAAACTATTATTTTTTAAGGTTGCACTCCTATGAGATAGGATGTAGCAAACAACGAGCAAATCTCGCAGCTCTGTACCACGACGATTTACAATGCAACCTAAAGACACGTTTCCATTACATCGACTATGCTCCATTTGAATATGTTGCGCAAGTTGTGCCTACAACTTTTTATATTGGAAACGTAGCTTTTAGCATTTGAATAAGGTGGCAAGTAAGTCTAGATATTGGTCGATTATTCTTCTGTGTGCACTGAACAAAGAACGATGTCCTGACTACAAAGGCCATACGTGACCAGTGTCGCTATCAACAATTTATAGATTTTGTTTTGTTTTGTGACTCTCCTAGTATATTTTGGGAAAACGCTCGGACACGTCAATTATGATTTATAGGGGGACGTCTTTTCATCTATAGCCGTACAATACAGGGTGATCCAAAAATAAGATTTGCGTCACATTTTTATTTTTAAATGGAAACCCCCATTTTTTTAATTTTTAGATTTTCCATGAAGTTTTTAGTAACTTTGTGTAATACAATTTATCTTCAATCATTGTGAACCTATTTGAGCTTATAATAAAACTCGAGAAATTGTGATAATAAAAATAATAATCAATATATGTAGTTCCCATAGTGACAAGACTTTACTTTAAAATTAGAAACAAGTATCCGATTATTAAAAAAACAAAAAAACAACTTACAGTTAATACGCACATTAAAGTCAAAATTAATTTGCTATCAAAAGGTACGTCAATGTGGTAATAAGTTCTGAAAGTGGTGTCCATTTACCTCCATGCAATAATAAAGATTTTGTTCCAATCTATTTCTCATATTTTCAAACATGTCTTGATTCCATTACTTCGGTAGTGTGGTTCTATTGCATTTTCTATGTCCAAGTACGTCTCACCCGTCAACTTTCTAGGAATAAAGAAAGGTCCTACAATATTTTTGAATCCAGCATAAAAAACTAGGCTATAATACCAAATTTTATGTCTTTATCTCAACACGTTTCGGAAATATTAAGGAAAAACCATCTTCAGGGGAGCTTTAAAAGACCGTAGCGCCCTTAGGGGACGTTTGTCGACCTATGTTTATATACACTTTTCTTCCTATTTTAAGCTCTAGAAACCGCTGGTAGAATATTTTACACTTTTTTCGGGACACCCGGTATAATATAAATATAACAAAATGATAAATAAATGTAAAAACGTATGAACAATTTACATTATAAATAACAAATAAATATGATAGACAAAAGATAAAAAGAAATTAAAACAAAGGATTCGAAGGAGAAAACTGAATAGATTGGCGTTATTTTACTCTCGTAATCTCTGAAACGGCTGCACCCATTTGGATGTTTGGGGAGCAGCATGCTGTAGCGGTTTCATCAGCAAAAAAACAATACAGCTTCAGATTATTCCCAAATTTTATTTTGGTATGCTTTATAGAATTATGAACATTTTTGGGCATAATCAATAAAATTTTTGGATGGGTTACGATTTAGAGAGCTCACAAAAAATTGCCTTCGGTTTCTGAGTACTCCAGACAGTAGTAAAAAAAATGATTAGCAAGCCCATAAAATTTTAATTTATGGTTTACATATAAAAATAATGATACTTAAACAGCATTTGTGCGTCAAATATTTTCAATTCGTTTTCTGAAGGCAGTGCCGGGTGTGATAGACATGGTTCTCTCACAGAAGTCCCAATATATTTTAAACATACTTAATTTCAAAAAGAGTCTATTACGTTTTACACGATTCAATAAATTGAATGATTTTTTAACCTTAAACAAGTTGGGTCGTGTAAACATAAAAATTGCTGTCAATTTCTCCACAACAAATTCATGAATAAATTGCCATATAACAGCTTGTTCTAACTTTCCGTCAGTTTTTTTGAGAATTCTAGTTGCTTTTAGTTCTCTTTCCTAGATACCAACCTTTGTTATTTGACGCGTTCACGTTTTGCGATTTGAGATAACAATTATAATCCTTACAGTTGGGCTTGGCGCTTTGGTTTTAATGTAGGATTTAATATTTCCACAGAAACAATCAGTATGCAAGTATACCGTCATCTTTTTATTGATTAGGTTCATTATACAGGTTATGTTTTGGTATTTTTTCACTGGGGTTGGTATCATAGGAAGTTACTATATGTGTTGGTATGCTTGACTTAAGTAAATCAACTTTAGTTTAGCTGGTATAAAAAGTTGTGTGATATTGTGGATAACGTTTTGGGAATTTTTTCATCCACTCGTCAGGGTCCACCAAGCTGGGGCCCGTATCACTGATACGGCGGTTGCTACGTCCCTGGATAGAGACTATTCTTCTACAGCTATTTCAACTGACGAGACCCTAAGATGAGACACATTTATGCCGCCAATTCATGTCTTTCAGTTACTTTGACTACTCAATGCTCAAGGAATCGCTTGTTAATGTCTATTCCTCGGAACCCGTTTTTAAATTCGTCGTAGCTTTTAAGTGATTGGTACATAACAAATTGAATTGTAAGCCGTCCAAAGTTAACCGGGAAGTTACTCATGCATGAAATGCAACCGTTTGCCGATGCCCAATGCCGCCAATGTGATTATTGCATTACATGGACTTTGACCGCGCGACTGGCTGGCGTCGAATCCAACATTGATATGACGTAAATGGTGCTTTCAGTGTTCTTACGAAAAATCACTTTTTACATTCATTAATCAGATACTTTTACGTAACATATCACCTGCACGGTTTTGCTTGTAGAGTACCTAGTCCAGACATGAGTAAAACAAGGGAAGCATTGATTTTACAAGTTTTTTGATTGGCTAATGTTTCTTCAAGACAACTACACAAAATAGGATTGAGTTCATCAAGCACTTCTTGAAGACAATGTGGAGAAAGAAGAAACCGAAAAACATTATTTTCGATTGCCCTGCTTCGAACGGGTAGAAGAACGCCCAGTGCAGGTGCGGGTCCAGGAGGGGGGGGGGCAACGGTGCCATTGCCCCCAAGGCCTCAAACTTGCAGGAAAGAAATTAAGAAAATGAAAAGAAGGAGAGGAAGAGGAAATGTGAAAATGGCGTCATGTAGATTAACCATGTACTTCCTGAGCCCTCGTTAGAGCTTTCAAAGAAAAGGGATAAGTCAGTGCTCCTAATTCCAAATTTGATAAAATAAATAAATATTTGGCCTGCAGCGGTGTGTCAGTGACACCACCTCAGATCAGTTGAAGTTTGTTAAAGATTGTACAACCGACAGTGGCCTCCACGACGATGCAGGATCGCGCAGTGCACGCAACGCCAACCATTGCAAAGTTATTTCTAATTATGAACACATTATACATCGGAGATTTACCATTTAATGTTACCGTTGTTACTGGGATCAGAAGATTCATAATGACAGAATGTCTTTGTCTAATACTAAAGACCTTACATTTGAACTTCAAAAATTGTATATAAATTATTACCGATTTTTATCTTTTTCGTGTTTTTGCCCCTAGCTCCGCTATCACTACACCGATTTTCAAAAACTATAAAGCTTTTTCATCCTTGGCATAGTAGTAACCTTGTGTCAAAGTTTCATCAAAATCCGAGCGGTATTTCTCAAGTGATGGTTATAAAATTTGCTGACAGCCGTCAGACAGCCAGACCAACGGAAATGAGTGATTGATTTATCGTGATGTACATACACCTCATATATGTACATTCAAAAAATATATCTCATCTTCGAAATTTCTCGCAAGACGTGATGATGGATCGGCCCTTGGACCAGTGGCGTAGGAAATAGAAATCCGTTCGTATTATTTATTCTACTGGTTATTCTGGATTGTTTGGCCTTTAATCGCAAAATTGCCGACTGGAGTAACGTACAGACACAAACTGTACGTAAATGTGATTGATCAAAAGCAGTAATGACCCAGTTACAAGGTCACAAATGAACGGGACTTGCATAGCATCGAAGGACGTTCAAGTTTGTTTTTCCGGTGTCGCCGCCATCACCGCGCCGATGTTTGCCGACTGCTTACGACATGAAAAAAAGAAAGGTGAATACCACGTACATGAGATAATTCGAATTTGAAAGTATCCGGATATGGCCGCCTGTGTATGTAGCATGTTACGTAAAGTGTCATTATGATTCTGTTAACACGTACATACGTGTAGTAAACAAATTTCACCTGGGAGATATTGAAGAAGAACATTTACTTGAGAGAAAAAAGGTAGTCCACAGCCTCGGCAAAAACCAACTCAATATTGTTTCCCAATTCATGAAAATTAAACTGGTTTGTCTATAAAGCAGTGTTGCCAGGGTTAGGCGATCTGCTTTCGGTAGATTTCTGCGAAATTTTTCGGTAGACATTAAACCAAAAAACACAAACTTTCAGGTGACTGAAAATTGAAGATGGGGCACCTAGCTTGTGCAGGTGTAGTATCAAATGCTGAAATGCTGCTATTTGAAGAGCGCATCGAAAATACGAAAATTGAGGAAGGAGCAGCGAGAGGGAGAGTGGCAGAGTGCCCTATTCTTGGATTTCAATGAATTATATCAGAAATGCACTATTTAAGAATTTAAGATAATCTTTGAGACATGGAATACAACTGAAATCTGTAGACCTGGTAACAATTCAAAGTAAATCATAGAAACACTTGAGACCATCTGTGATCTGTTGAAAAAACGACACGGCCGAAAAACTGCAGTTGCCTATAGCCTTGGTAGAGTGGTGTATGCTGAAAAGGAGAGTGTTTGGATGAAGGTCTGTAACCCAATCTAGACCTAACCGAACAATGTAGTGGAGAATCAAGCCACATCAGATTTCAAGGTTGTTTTTGTATTTTTCCACTACCAAAAGAAAACCATTTGTAGAAAACTTTCGGAGATGCTTGGCCATTGCCAATGATATCACAATGTCTGCAATGGGTCATGGACTTTTAACCTTAAATTCAGCATGGAAAAATTTCAAATCCTCATTTGCCACCAATCTTTTGTTTTAAATTTTATAGTTTTGTATGACCAACTAATTTTCCTCCTTGTTATTCTATCAAATCCTGCTTAGCTTGTTTTTGAAAATGCAGTGTCAGATTTCAGATTTAGGATGGAAGTGGCATCAGTATATCCAATCATGTAGAATCTAAAGCTTGAGTGACTTTCATAGATCAGTGGGATGTCACATTACTGAAAACTATTGTCTCATGAACTATCGATTTGCTATTTCAGTACATTTCCTGATCTTAACCAACTTAACTGTTAACATAATTAAAAGCCAGACTACTGCAGTTTATCATAATTGTGAAATGTGTTCAGATGTCAAATGTAGTACTTACTCAGCTACAAGGTAATTGCAAATTCAATGTCAGCTTTTGATATGAGGTGCCAATTTTATTACACACTCTTTAAATTCAATGACAGCAGGGTGATGGATATTCCATACCTTGCTTTCTTCCTTATTTACTTTTAGCAAAAAAAATACATTTTATTTTATTAGGTAAGGCTAACAACGCACAACAATAAGGATGTAGATGCATACACTGTCTGAGTTTTTTCTTTGAGGAAGAAATGGCAACACATACAACGTAATGAACATTTCTAATGATACATTGTAAACTTAATAGGTTGTTACATCAAACTTTCAAATAAATCACATAACAAATCTGACATAACCTCATATGATTGAATAACTAAAACTCATATAAAAAACACTTAGCACTTTGCATCATACTAATTATGTTGTACCATGTTGGTGCCTTGGTTGATGCTCAATTCCAACCAAACTTCCAACAGGTTTGCGACAGTAAGACATCAAATTTAGCCATACCAAGAAGGTAATAAAAAATGACATTAGGTAATTTGAAAACGATGAAAAGAAAACCTCATTTCAAAAAGTCATTCAAGCTAACTTGTTAGTCGAAAACCCAATCTTGAAAGAAGACTGAACACCAGGGTCTCTGAAACAATAACAATATTTATGTCACCAAACCGCTCCTGACCAGACTTACCTACACAGAAAGTTTTAGCATCAAATCATGGAGAAAACTTTATTTCTTGAAATAGTCCCATTTTGTAATGGGATCAGCAAAAAATGTTCAACATCTAACCAAGACATAGAACATTTCAGAAAAAGCTTCCAAAGACAACTGTACCCTAATGTTCAGTGAGCTCTCAATCTAAATGATTATCTTGTTTCATGTGTAAAGTTTCTTTTTCATAGTTTAAATGTCCCCTAGTACATAAAAGTTGCAGTAATCAAAATATTATATGACCCTATTGAATATGTATCATATATAAAGTTTTGTGACATGATGAATATGAAAACAAAATAAACTATTTAAAATCCCAAATCCCATATATTCACCTATAACCATATTTTATAATATAATAAATGATCACAAAGTTAGTCCAAAACAATTTCACTTCATCTTCCTCTAAAAACATAAAATATTTTGTGTATTATTTACTGGAGTTCATATTTTAAATTAAAATCACATTTTAAAGTGAGTTTAAAAGGTACATAATCATTTCCAACACAATGGAAGTAGACAGACCCAGTTTAATCATGGCCATGAAACAAATTCTTCACATTCCAATGTGCAGCAGACTATGATAAAGTGCAAATCAAAGTTCATAGAACTAACTCAGTGTGAGCTGATTAGAATCAATATAGGCGATTTATTTGCTGCACTTAGTGCTATTAGGTACTTTTATATTGTTTACTGCTAAATCTTGCTAAATATAGAAAGCACTGCTTCGATATCACACATTCAAAACAGGTGTTAATTATACACTGATTGATAGAGAGTCGCTAGCGTTTATGTAAGTAACTTACAGTAACTAACAAAATGAACCAATATATTTGCAACTCACCCAATCAGTCCCTGTGGAATGCGGCTTGCATGGTGTGGACACCTTCTCTCCAAGCCTGGATTGCACTATTAATTGGACAGACTTCTGAGCCAAAAATTTGATAAATTTGTCCAGATCTTTCTTATCTTGATTGCTGAACTTCATTGCCATAACACTATTTGTACATTTTAAAATCACACAAACACAAATGGGTAATTTTGATTATTGTTTGTAGAAAAAAGTGTCAAAAAGATGCACTATTTGAGTCAGTGACGCGGCAATCCATTTACAGTCACACAAAATGCACACACTTGGATAATAGATACTCAACAGGGAGCAGTTCCTTCTTTCCTTGTTTGCAATAATGCAATTTTCCAAATAAGTGAGACTGATAAAACTGCAGAATATAGCCAGACGTTCATTTCAGCCATGAACAACTCACGTATATTCACGTTCCTTCACGCGTCTATGACGCTCACAAATGACGTTTTCCTGACAACACAACAACCGTAACCGTCATCTCCAGATCAAATGATTTCTCTCCCTTTCTTAACCCTTGTATTGCTCAAGTGAGAGAGGGAGAGAAAACATATTCAAGATGTCATAGTTGTCATTTCGGAGGCATGAAACACACAGTAAGGACGTGGCAAAGAGCAGTAATAACAGAGAAGTATATATTTATATCCAGTGGCGTAACGAACATTCAATGAACACAAAGAGTTCACATATTTATGGTTAAAAAGATAATAATTATAAAGCCACCTGTGCTGGAAGAATATGAACGTTGAGTTAATTTATTTACTTCTGCATTATTTCCATTTTTCTTTTAAGCGAATAAAAGTTCTTAGATACTAATATTTATAGCTTTTTCCGAAAATATTGTATATTATTTCATATGTCGCTGTCAATCCATAGCTTTTGGTTTCGCATCACAGATGTGGCCTGGTGCGGCTTTGAAAATTTTCTGATGCGAATTTATTGTGCGTACTCATTTATTAAATTTCAGCAATATCACATGCGAATGACCTAGCCTACCTGCTATATGCATAAATCCAAGCACCTATGATAGATTTCTACAATATTTTTCATCAACTATTTCTCTGATACAATAGTTTACCTTATTACCAGTAGAAAAAAATGTAATGAATTATTGGAAATCAAAACAGGAGAGCTTTAGTGCAACAAAAATAACGAATCGTCAAGTGTTCCGTTACGCTATTTTTGACAGCAATTGGAAATAACGGTGATCGAAAAAAAGCGTTTTACGACAACCAGGAGGAGTCGTAGTAAGTTGACAATAGTATTACTGATAATCGTGACAGGTTGCTCATTGTTTATTTTGACGTGTTTCTATTATACATTTTCTAACCAATAAAGTAATATTATAACTTGAAAACATTTCAGTAAAATTTTTCAGCTTTACGAAAATCTCGGTACGAAATAAGCTTTCCCTTTTTTAAAAGGATACTTTTTCTTATTTTTAAGAAATTTAATTTATATTTAATACATAAACCGTGAATAAATCGCTCTCAAGTGAACGAACGCCAATCAAATTGCAATATGTCACACGTCGGTAACACACTAATGATATCGTAAAATTGCTACTTATAATGCTAAAGTTACTTTCTGTAGATTCAAAATTGAAGTAGACAAAGTTAAATTTTAGGTAGTTTAGTTGGATTAAAGCTTTGGTTGGTTCTTTCCGGTATCCATCAAAAAATTTGGTTTGCGGTCAATTTTTTACATTGTTTAATGTTGTTATTACAAGTACAACTCTGTTAACAAACATTAGATTGAGGCCCAATAAAATACAACCTAAATGAAGTAAATCAATATTACTTCACAACTTCACAGGTGATAGTCCAACGATGATGTACATCTCCTTTCGCAATGCCGAGGACTGTAATATATAACAACTGTCGATGAAAAATTTGCTCTTATTTAAGTTGAACTGTTTTATGAAACCCACGGAAACCTTCACCATCTTCGGCAAGTATTTGAAACACTAGGATGGTATGGAACAAACGCACTTTTATCTTTCCGCAAAAACCTATGAATTTAATGTAAAATATCAACAACTGTAAAATTGCGGCTTAAGCCAGATCGATTTGTAATATAAACTTTCATCCTGACTACAGACTATCAGATTTTGGAGACAAACAAATCATAGACTTGTTCCTTCTACCTAAGCTCAATTCGTTGCCCTTCACTGACTACGGTTTTAGGCTAAATAAGGTACTTGTGCATTGTTTTACATACTTTCCCAAATAGTCAACATCATTGTTGCATATTGTCAGTTTATTTCTCACCTCTTGCTCCGCATCTGGTCATATGTTTCTTTTGGATCGGAATCTGCTATTCTTTTTTCTATGCTCCATGGTTTTACTTACTTACTGTTTTGAGTGATGAAGTCCGAATATATATGTTTTGTGGTGTATGTTTTGTATTGTAGTTCTGGTTCCTTCCTTTCCGTGTATATATTTTGTGGTGACAAGTGTTGACATTAAAAAGATTTTAAAAAAATATGAATACTCACCTATTCAGCATTCTGTAAATTATCTATCAGTTGCTATCAGTTCATTCATAGTTGCCATGTATTGTGTGTGCTTGCAGTAAATTTTATATATCAGAACTTTTGGACAACCGGTAGTTAATACAACCCTAAAAATGGCCGGGTCAGCGCTGAGGCGTCTCATGGCTGAATACAGACGTACGTTCATAGAAAAACCTGCGTATAAATAAAAATTTACCTATTTTGATCGTTTCAGAACTGACATTGAACCCTCCCGATGGAATAATTGCTGGGCCTATTAATGAAGAAAATTTCTTCGAATGGGAAGCATTGATAACGTAAGTGTAGTTTTTATTCTGCCATTATTCAAAGCACAGACGCCGAAACTGATCGTCCCGGCTGGCCGGTTAGTGTTTGACATCTAATTATGACCGCTGATCAGTGGTGGATAAGGCTGCATGTTATCTGTTGTGTTGCCAAGGAAGTTAATACGAACTTCGCCAACAAATTGGATAATAGCCTGATTATGGTTGAGACAATGCAGATGTGCAATGGAAATATTGATTTTTACATTTAAAAATATTGGGTACTTTATAAGAATCCCAGGCAATTACAATACAAGGAACAGAGATATAACTCTTTTGTACCCAATTCATCATCTGTTACAGAAAAAAACATACATTACAGTTGTGCAAAGCCTTACAATAAATTACCCCAGGAAGTTGAAAAGTTGTCGAATATAAAAGAGTTCAAGAAATGTATTCACAAGTTACTCATGACTCTAGAGCCATATGGGCTCGATGAATATCTAGAAATGTGAAACAAACGTGTAATATTGTAATATTTAGACACTATTTTTGTTTCTTCTATTTGTTTGCTATTACATGATGTATATTTCACCTGATAGTACACATGTGCACTGATATTTTGAAATAAAGATTATTTATTATTATTATTATTGTGCAAACAAGTAATGTCATTGATTCTGATTTTAACAGTCACCATTAAGTTACCAGCTGCTGTATAAACATACCAGTATGGTCATGATTTGGGCAGAGGTATTCTTTCAGACCATTGTGTTCTGCTAGAAGGCCTATGGCTGCATGGAGGTGTTCATTGAAAGCACATTTGCTGCGGTTACCGAACATGAATTCACATTGTGGATTTTCTGTGGCAAGAGTCGCTAATGATAATATTTTTGTCCGGGATAAAGACTCTCATCTAAGAAAAGAAAATTTGGGTTCGCTTCAGATTAAAAATATACAGTAAAAACTAAGAAGTAGTAATTAGATTCAAGTTATTGATATAACATATCTTTTAGTGGCCCTGAAGGGACCTGTTTTGAGGGGGGAGTGTTCCCAGCAAAACTAATTTTCCCACCAGACTATCCACTAAGTCCACCAAAAATGCAGTTTACATGTGAGATGTTCCACCCTAACAGTAAGTTATCTCTGTTTATTTAAATTGAGCAGGTTTAAAAGATACAATATAAGGTATATCATTTTTCATTAAATATTACATAATGCAAGTTTAGAATTATAGAAAAAAACTTCCAAAAAATTAAATAAAAATTTCAGAAGTAATAAATAGAATTATTCCTCAGCGAAGCCCTAAAGTGACACTGCTGTAGTTGGAACAGTTGGCATTATTGATGCATGTTTGATCGCACATGTGGTTCCAGCAGTCCTGGGCTGTGCTGCTTTTGCATGGTGACATCTTAAAATTCGGTAACATGCCTTATTATTACCAGCATGTTACAGAACTTTCAGACTATTGTAGTAACATCCTGTTAGGAATGTGATGATGAAAAAACAAACGAACTAGCGGTTGTTTTGCAGCAAGACTCGTCCGTCTGTATCAGCTATGATACTAAACTTTAATAATGTAATATCAGTCTAGTCAGCTATGGGATAACCTAGATATAATTTCGATTTTCATAGTCAAGTTATGTCATGTCACACTTTTCGCGGGTACTTTCAGGGTCCTACGTAGGAGATTACACGATTTAGTTTAGTGTCAAAAATATTGATAGTTTGAAATTCAAAATTTTTTCTAATTTAAATACCCTCCAAACTCCACTTTAAAGATGCCTCAAGTTGTAGATTGATGAACCTTTTTTTGCTTCAGTTAATTACTGAAACTAAAAACGGTCATGAAATACTTGAACTTTTCAGTATATGCAGATGGAAGGGTATGCATTTCTATTTTGCATGCTCCTGGAGATGATCCTATGGGATATGAATCAAGTGCTGAGCGATGGTCTCCTGTACAAAGTGTAGAGAAAATCTTACTCTCAGTTATCAGTATGCTTGCAGGTAAATCTTATTCATAAACTCTGAAAATCTTCACAGCAATTGGTCAAAATGTCTTCCTCCAACCTGAATACACCGTTCCTGTGGGGACATGTAAGGGTCTTTGGTTTACGAAACTCCAGTAGTAACAGTTGAAATCATTCAAAACGAGTATCAAATTTTTAGTCAAGTCCGCCGAAATCATGTGCGACGATTAAATCGGTGTATTCAGGTTGGAGGAAGACATTTTGAACAATGGTTGTGATGATATCATGTACAAAAGGCAAGAATTAAATGCATTAATTCTTATTTATGCAGTTCAACGTCTTTCTAAATTTTAAAGCGGCTTAGGGCTGTAGTGCCGTAGTGACACTTTTCCGGATATGGGTCCCTATACTCAAATGTTTTCTACTGTTACACTGAATAACCCCTAGAAGTTTGATCCCCTAGTTCCGAAACACCCTGTATATATGTATATATATATATATATATATATATATATATATATAGTATATGCACTAGGGATTTCAAATTCGAAAACGGTAAGTAATACAAAATGAAGATAAAGTTGCACATTTAGGTAGCCAAAAAAATGTTACTTAGATAGTTTGGCAATTCAGAGTATTCTTCTCTAATTTGAGCTGGGATCTCAATATAAATTGCATTAACAGTGGCACTTTTTATAAGCCTCTTGTATAAGTAACTGGTACTGAAATCCTTTCATAATTTCGGATGGAAAATTTGTACCAAAGATTTGGTGTATCCTTCATTCTATGATTGAATTTTTCCTGGTGCATTTGGGGGTGCTCCTGGAGAAATTCAATCTTTTTTTCCTTTTGTTCATTTGTAATGTGCTTTTTTTAAGTTTTCGGCTCCTTAGATAAAATTATAAGGAGGAAATCTTGACCAAAAGCTTTGGTTAGTTTTTGACTGTCAAAATTATCTCTATTTTGATTGGTTTAACACGTTTACTCAAACCTGGCAACTCTGTGTCTTGATTTCCTTTCTCCTTTCTATTGAGTCCTTTCAAGAATCGAGTATTTTCGAATCGATAGAAAACCGTGGGAGTAGAAAAAGAGAAGAAGTGATTTTCTATTAAAGTCAAGAATAGGGGCACTGGATTCGCGCACAGACCACGGAAGTGAGTGACATGGAGTTATATGATGCACATGTCATATACCATCCAAAAAACGTAGTCATTTTTGAAATTTCCGCGATTACAGGTGATACAAAACCCTAAAATGCAATGGGCAAAAGTGGACAACGTGAAAAGGGGAGTAAGTCAGCCAACTGGGCATGCTTTGATATTGTCAGGCCTATCCCTATCATTCCCGTTCTAAAAATGCTTCTAACAGATAAGTGACGAGGCCGTCTTTTTGGAGGTACATATTGTCCCACCAGTCGATACATGGTAACCACAAGCGCTTCATTTGATGCCCGTGTACTCACTATACCTTGGAGTGGCCTACCTTTCTTCTAACAGATCATCTAGGATTTTATGTCTCGAGTCCTTAGTCCAGACGTTAACGGGATTTTAGTAGTATCGCGTCTAATAGTAAGTGTCCATATCGCTAGAAGTACACGCGGTACTTGCTCCGACCGCTGCCCGTTGCTTATATATTTGGAAATGATGATGTCCTTATTCATACTTGCTACCATCTGTCTAGATCAACGAATTCGAATAGGTTAAGAGACAAGTATATATACTACCAGTGAAATGCCAATAATACATCAGCGTACATTATTTCTCTGGAGAGGTATTCAAGCAGACAATCGCATTGGGTGTACTCACTTTTAGTAAGGCGGATATACTATGTGTGTGTCATTCTTTGGTTTGTTCGTAGAGTGGTCGGTGTCTTGTCGGTGACAGTGTCTAGATCCGGCCCTGTTGGGGAATTTGTGTGGCAGGATCTTGGACACGATCACTGTCCGGTTGGCGACAGTTGTACGAACATGGCTTTTAATAAACGGGTAAATTAAAAAAGATAAAAAACGAAGGAAAATATTTTCTAACGGTATAACAAATGAACAATTCTGCTTAATTCGTGATTTTGGAAGGTGAAAAATACCAAAAATTGTCTTCGTCGAGCAGTGGGATACCTTGCTTGAATTCTGCTCAGTTTTTCTAAATACCTGTTGTGATCTGAGCAGATTCTTTGCCAAAAGCAAATACTTAGCTGAGCATAATATGGAAATCATCATTAATCATTGTCACTATATTTATCAAATAAAAAGATTTGGAAGTAATTTAATTTAGTTAGATATTCATAGTTTTTAGGCCTACTGAGCTTAGTAGATTCTCGTGGCAATAAAATGCGAACGTAAAATTACTATTTATATCGTGAAAGTAAAGAACTTTCATAAGAACTTTTAGATCCAAATCAAAGTAGATGAGATTCAAAGTTAAGGTTTTTAGTTGGACCTTCCTAGTACCCATTAAAATTTTTGAATTGTCTCCATTACTTTCCAGATTTTGAAAATTTGGAATTCGTTGGTCAAGATAGAAACATACAAATCTTCTAAGTACTAAAAAATAATCATCTTTATTTAAGAACCAAATGACGAAAGTGGTGCAAATGTTGATGCAGCTAAAATGTGGAGAGAAAATAGGGAAGAATTTAACAAAATAGCTGAGAAAATTGTAAGAAGAACTCTGGGCATTCCAACGTAGTTGTTGTTTGGGTAATTCAAATATTTTTTGAAGGTAAATGTAAATTTGTTATTGGCTTGAAAATGTTAGTTTATTGTTTTTATTTTTTAATTTATATAAAATCATAAGGTATTAGGCTTTCAACCACCATGTAATGTAGATATGAAAACTATCCTATCATTCGATTTGAGTTCATAGTTCACTGTATCCTGCAAGCAAAGTTTTATGGTCAATTTATCAAATGTTACAATAAAATTATTTTATGAAAAGTCGAGCATAGCTTTGTATCTATACTCACCATCAGCTCCCAATCAGCATCATTTACTAAAACTAGTATTCCAGGTCTCCTAAAAAATAAAAATTTTGATTATAAAAATTTTCCAATAATAAGGCTGATGATCTTAAGGTGATTTATAGAAATAAGTTCTGCCATCTCTGTAACAAAAGGTGGATATAATTTGTGGCTTGATAGATGGTGTTAAGTCATTCAACACAACTTTCTCAACAAATCTATCTGCACAAAAAATTGATGCATATATAGGGTAATATCTGTAAAGCCATTGTAACTTAGTTGCAAGGGCAATAAGCTAAAATTGGAAAATCTGAAAGTCGACAACTCCCCCTCTTATTTGCAATCTCAATCTAGGAAATAGATGCCAAAATACTTCTATATAGTTTTTTCTGAAACGTGTCACTGCTCTATGTGGTGATTACCTTTTGCACCAGCACCATAAGGAATTAATAGTTGCTAACATGCATGTAACATGTTCAACTACCAGAGTGTTTCAATCTACTTTGGTTCAGTGCAGCTATAACGCACCATGGCCATAGGATAACTGATGCATGTTATGTTGAGCTTCAGTTCAACCAAGGCTCACTCATTCTCCAGCACACAATGACCTAAAGTCGCATAAGTACATTTTATCTTCTGTACAAGATCCCCAAAAAGCCTCAATTTATTTAGGCCTGTGTTAAAGTGTTCCCATGAAGTGCCTATGCCAATACAGCTGAATGGCTAATTAATGTATTTTGCTTCGATATGAGCAAATATTGAGAGGTACGCTGTTGTGTCCCGCAAAGTCCAACCTCTACGTCCGCGTCGTGTGGGATGGCAACAGGCTGGATTTCTTTTGTAGTTCCAGTGCTGGCTAATGAGGCTCTGGCACCTCCCCTGAATCTAAGGTGTGAGGCTCCGTGCCTAGGGATGAATGATGCCGGGGGTAAACGGCATCTTGAACGGACCCTCCAGGACACCGGGCCACCTCCTGGAGTAAGTTTGGCCTTACGTACGTATGGGGCTCTGCGTACGGTGACCGTTATTTCCCCATTACTCGTGGGATCAAATATGGATACACTTAAACAAACGCAAAACAAAAAACCCTCAGACGCAGAAGGTGCGGAGGAACCTTCTGATGTCTTATCTACGACTGCCGATGAGGCAGCCTTATTCGGGAACCTCTTTGAGGAACCCTCTACTACCACTCCCTCTAAACAAAAAAGTAACACACAAGCTCCAAGGAGAAAAAAACGCAAAAAATTATTAGCGGCAAAAGGCAGGAACATGACATCCAATCACTCCGGAAATTTTAGACAAAAACGTCGACATTCCAAACAAATGCTTACGCCATCTGCAAAGAAAGCCTTGGGAACATCCGTCGTTGCCGTTAAACCACTTCAAATGAAGAAACAAGCTACGAAAACACGTGCACTTCCTATCCCAAGTGCAGGATATAGTGCCGTCAAACATAGCGAGTTTCATATTACGATAAGTCAAAAGGGCGGAGAACAACTCAATGAGGAACACGTTCAACTTTTTTTTGAAACCGTAGGTGATGCTATATTAGATTTATCTACATGTAGTAGTTTTATCCCGGCGTTCGAGAGCTGCAAAATTTGCAACGGACAAATCCTCATCACAGCAAAAAATAGGGCGTCTAAAGATTGGTTATTGAGACATCTTTGGAAAATACGACCTTGGAACGGGGCAGATCTTGTAGCTACAGGTCCACCTGAAGGTTCGTCATCTATCAAGTATCAATCGGCTTACCTGTGGGTGCCGACCGCGCGATATAGTGAAGTCGAAATTCTTCAAATACTAGATAGTCAAAACCCAGAACTGATGATTCCTTTATGGAAAGTCCAAGGAATGAAACCGGAACCATGGGGATTAGTACTGAAGGTAGACATAGATAGCAGATGCATTTCTGCTTTGAAGGATATTAATTTACAGCCATTTTTTGTTTTACGGCGCGTTGATGTACAACTAGAAGTAAATTTGAAAAGGAAAATCCCTACTGATCTCAATAGCAGTGCTTCTAGCGTCGGCCCTACAAAAGTCAAGAGAACGAAAGCACTTCTGTCCTCTAGTGATGTACAAGCAAATCAATCGGTGCAATTGAACGCACCTGAACCTGCTCCCCAAAAGAAGCCCTCGAAACGTAAACCTAACAAAGCCCAAAGAATGAAACGACGTAGGATGGAGGCTTCACAAACCAAGCCTGCAATACCACCTCCTAAGCATACGACACAGTCTTCTTCAAAACGAAAAGTAGATCGTCCTAGAAGCAGAATGGTATCTTCTCCGAGATATAGGGCAGACTCACCACCTAGACCAAGGGTACCCTCTTTTAGTTTTAGGACGGGGTCTCCACCAAGACGTAGAGAAATGCTATCGTACAATTCTAATCAACAGGCAAGTAGGAATCCATCCCTGTTACAAATGAGGGACCTGGTTCCAAACACCTCTCAGATGCTGTCTTCATTATACCGTGATCCAGTTACAGACACAGAGTTAACTTCTGACGATAGATACAAAATGTTTTACTCTAGGGAACTGGATTTTGACAGGAACACTTCACTTCTACGCAAATCAGATATTTCTGCTTCTCGAGGGTCCAGTTCTGAGATATTTGGGAGTTCATTCCAAGTAAGACACGATAAAGAGTTAGTGCAGACTAACTCATTACCAAGAACAGCGAACACTTTAATGCGAGCTTCTTTCTTGGAAGATGAACTTATCTCGCAGAGAGTCAGATACTCGCCTCCTATGAGTCAGGAAAGAGATCCTTATCTATCATTCTCATCTCGCGCAGTTCCAAGAATTGAATCTTCTTCGTCTAGATTCCAGGTAAATGACCGTCCCTCGCTCTTAGCTTTCCAAAATCAGTCCGAATTCAGACACCCTAGTGACGAATTTTATGCAAAATCAACGATTTTAACGAACAGACCAAAAAAGCAATACTACTACACTAAATAGTTGTTCTAATTGAACCTCCATTAGGAGAGATGTTTTGTCCAGCCATGTGACATAATTGTAATGACAGTAGTGAAGCAAAAAGCAGCAGTTATGATTGACTTTGTGATTGAACATCAATAGTTGATTTGCTTTTTATAATCGTAAAAAATATTGACCAGATTCTACCTGAAACATTTGTTTGCTAAGTCAGCCTGAAAATAGTCCATTTCTTAAAAAAATCTGTAGGCATGTGATATGTTTTAAGGTCCATGGATGTATTTTCGCATTGACGATCAGAACGGTAATAGAGACAATTGAATTGCACTTTTAAATCCCGCTGTTCTAATTTATATCAGAAAAAAGCATAAATCCAACGGATATTTTAAACATTCGAAACATAGTTTCAGATATGTATAGCAATAGCGTCGAGTCTTGTTTTTGATGAAATATGCAAAACATTATCTGATCTACAAAGAAGGAGTAGAACATTCGCTATTGTTTCGCATATTCGTTATTTGCCGAATACTTCCCTAATGTAGCAGGTATGCAATTAAATATCTTTTAAGAGATGACTTAACAATTTAAATTCTGATTTGGTTCATATGAATCTATCTCCCATAATAGAATGAAAAATACCAATGTTTAAATTTCGATGATATCACCGTCATTGCATTATTAATTATTCAAAGCTGGACAAACTCATTTGTATACGTTACTGTTGCATCATATCCACCTTTTGTTATCACTGCAATATGATGAAGAGAAAGTCTGTTCTGTAACGCTACTGAAACGAAAGTAAATAATATAAGCACAGCGTCAGCGCTTCAGTAGCGATACCGATCGCACCTATTAACGGCATACAAATCTTTTTTTTGAGATACGTGAAAATGTTGGCATATTAATTATTCATACAGTGAAATACATATACCACTGACGTCGTAGAATGTACGAGAAGGAAGCGCTAGAAGCGTGCAATACAATGTTAGAAAGAGATAGAAGCACGTTGCCTAGCAACCGGAGTGACGCAGCTGCGACTTGCGTTGCCATCAGCACCATATAATGCCAATAAAGTTTCGGCTGTTTTAATTACAAAACAGTAAACAAAACGAATTCACAAACGATGCCCAAAGACTGTCATTTTTCATTAAGAAAGGCAACACAACTTGTACACAGTCACTGCGCTAATTTTCGGTATATTTTGGATTTTCTTTCTAATGTAGTAATATTAAAATTTGTGTTTGATTCTTCATATTATTTGTCAGAAACTATCAGATGTAACTATTACTTGCTGAATTTAAATCTGGTACCAAATATGTGGAATCAGTTATTTCTTTCTAACAATATATGTATTTGTTATAGTTGTAAATATTGTATTTGCATTCCTAAAGCGATCTAAGAAGTTTGAAGTGATGATTAAAAATGTGCAACATTTCATAATGTATGGTGCAATTTTGTCAGTTTCAACAACCTCTTTAAAATGTATAGATGGATTGTGTCAGAGTTCGACTTGAATGTTCTAAAAGACAAATTTCAGTTCTTAAAAATTTCATTCTTTTTAGTAACAGGATTGTCATGATTATACCCTTGAAGATAGCCATTTTGACTTATAGTTAGTTTGTTAGGTGTCAGAGTAGAATGTCTAAGAAGGACTATAAGTTGAGAATTTTGAAACTACACCTACATGATGCTTTATTTTGGCAGGAGGACAAAAGGAAATTATCTGCTAAGTAGTAGTAGTAGGTGGCTCCTATGGGAGCAATAGGGTGGTTCAGCTGTTTCTACTTCTGAATGTAATACAAAAGGATGGAATGGTAACATACCATCATCATCATAACAGTCCTGTTGATAACAATAAATTATTCATGGAGGAAGACCTCCTCCCCCGCTTTTCAAGTACTAAGATTTATATTGGTTCCAATGTATTTAAAATCAGTACAATAAGACTGAAACTGTACTATATATTGTGAAACACCTTAGTGAATACTATGTTTACATTTCTGAACAGCGAGTTGTGGAGCCAAGTTGTACAAAAGCAGCACTGCAGTTTTAGAAATCAATAGTTTGTTCTGAGAGCAGCACTGTTAGTTGGAAGCTATCTCTACTTATCTGTTTCAAATTGACACAGAGAATGAAACCAATCTAGATTATAGTAGTGATAACTTTTGGAAATGTTCATACTTTTCTATGATTTTTCTCAGAATTTCATTCCACACCTGTGTGAAGTAAACACTAAAATACAGAAATTGTATTCAATGAGTTGGTTTGAACTATAACTGAAATGTAACATCTGTGTTTGGAGCAGTAACCATGATTGTATTATGTGGAAATGTATCTGTAATGTATTTTAATACATTATTGATCAATTCCAAAGTGTTTTTTGTTTAGCAATATACCCTTCTATCCTTATTGTTCAGATATTAATAGTAGTGCATTCAAAATTATATAAAGCAGCTCTATAATGATGCATTTACCTAATTCTGAGCAAGATTCACATCATCATGCAGTGCTAATTGATAAAGTATCTTTATGAAAGGCTTTTATGTTTAGAACCACTATTAGGCTAATTTCACAAGATCCAGTATTTACTTTGGTCTGTACCATCAGTTGATTTCCATAAAGCTTTATACATCTCAATAATTAATGATGTCCTGACTAGGGTCAATAAATGCCATATTCTATGATAAATAATTGCAATTTAATAAATTAAATGCTAATCATGTGACATTTGCCTTGCAAAGTTTATCCTAGCAAATGATCATCATTTGTCACATTCTATTGGTGCTCCTGAACAGGCAATATTTTTCTGGCCCAGCAATACTTAGATATAGCTAGGGTTACCACATGGTCAGTATTGTCCCGACATTTCATATCATGTCTAGTGTCCTGAAAAAATACAAGTTGTCCTAATAAATAACAAAACACAAATTTAAAGTTATACTATTATACTAAAAAATCACTTCAATTATTCGATTGTACAAAATAATAAAAAACAACTTTTTAATTTGTAATATTTTTGTCCCAACTATAATCCCAATTTTTTTAAATTTTGCCCATTGTGTTCATCCCACCTGATAACCTTAGATATAGTCAATATATCTGTGATGTATGGCTGTGCCAGAAATTCTGCCCATTTTAAGGTTGTTCTTGCAGTGGTTGGTGACTATGTCTGGGATCAGGCCATGTTAATTCCATCTATATAGTGTAGTAGGTTGTACAGAATTTGTCTGGCAGGATCTTAGACATGGTCACTGCTGTATGAACAGGACTTAAGAGCCTACCCATAAATATTTAATATACTTACACAGATCCATCTTGTAGAAATAATTCAGGTCTCTCCTTGAGTATGTTATCTTTGATCCAATATAGAAGGTCACCTATTGTCCCTACAAATAGATATAAGGAATGAACAAAGTCTAAAAATACCCAAATTTTTCAACTATGTTTGAATTGATATTTAACATGAATCAGTGCACATGGAATCCATTCCTGCATAAATGTATTCTATCAGAAGTAGAACAGGAGCTCATTCAGGAAGCACAAAATTGTACGAAGTTTATGGGTCATGTGTAGTCTTTATGGATAGACTTACAAACTTTATTTTTTGAAGGAAAAGCGACTTCATGAACCTTTTGATTCCCTACAAGAACTTCTGCCCCTCCCCTGTAAAATAAAACATCTGATTCATTTCACAAACTCGATACCATATCTAAAAAGAAAAAGGCTTAATACAAAATTTAAGCATTTATTGGCTTTTACAAATAATCTTAATTATGTTGAATTTCAACGTACCCAAATTCCAAAGCAATTTTTAAATCAGCCATAGAAATTAGGAAATAACCCGTCTGAAATGCAAAATTTGAAATATTTTTGATATTTACGTTTCTCAATGAAACATAACACATAACCCCCCTTTAATTCAAAACAAAGAACACAAAACATCTACACTCACTGAACATAGAACCCGAAGTGAAGTCACTGATATATACTTTTCGTCGATTTTGTTCCGTGGTATAGATGAGTAAATTTGTCAGTATTGCAATTGTTGATCAATTGACAAAGATGTGTTCTGGTCCGCCATTTTCATCCATGCATCTAATCAGGTCTTAATCGATACTGACAACACTGTTTCAAATTCTATCAATAGATGGAAGGATCGAATTATTTATTGGATTGATGATCATGGAACAAAGTCTACGTAGGTTATAAGCTGCATGTGTGTTGAATAGCACAAAAAATTAATTTGAATAATGTTGCAGCATGTCACTAGAGGGCGCAGCAGCAGAGATAGATATGGCAGATGAAGCATCCAACCATGGCCGCATCTACCAGTGTAGATCAGAATCCACCGAAAGTGGTTTCTCTGTTTTGTGGTTTTCGCAAGTTAACCAAAGAAAACCACAGAAGTGACAGTGTCAAAAAATCAAAACAAAAACCTAACCTCATAATTCAAATCAAACATCGATTTTCAGAGATGGATCTTTGAATCTGTTGATTTGAACTATTATTTGATCAGATATTCGAAACACGAAAATGGCTCACGTTTTACAAGGTGTTTATGCACCGCTACCACAATCACTCAGCGATTCAGATTCAGATAAAGAAATTAGTATGGAACCAGTTTGTGGAAACTACAATGGTAAACATTCGGATTCCAGGAAAACCAACAGCTTCTCATATCTACAGAACGGGCACCAAATGGTATTTAGCGAGATTGTGGAGGACATGCATCAAGCTAAGCTAGTAAACCCTAAAATGTCTGCAGGCTGCAAGTTCGCATTTGCGTTTTCAATTATCCTTTGCTTTCTACCAGTAGTCATCTTTTTGTGGGTGCTACCATGCTCTGAATCTAATACATGTCCAGTCAAAATTTCAAACTGGGAAATACAACTGGAAAATATTGAATTCCAAGGCAAGTGTAATTTGGTAGATGGACCATATAAAGGATCAATTTTGAATATAGCACTCATGTACAAGGGAAGCTTTAACAGTCATATGGACCAGAAGAATGGCATTGCTTTACTGAAAGGACGAGATGGAAGTACAATATGGAACTATCGTCAAAAAATGAATCCATCTGGTTTGAATTGTAGCATTATTGATGTGAGTGGGAATGGAATTCATGACTGTCTAGTCATAGATGAAAATGGATTGAAAGCAATAGAAAGCTTAACTGGTGAGACTCTTTGGTATGCTCATAGTGCCCAAGAAAAATCTATACCAAAGCTAGATATGCCAGTAAAGCTGAAAGACATGGATGATGATAATATAGATGAATTATTAGCCATTTATGAGAAACACTCTTTGCTCTTGATATCTGGAAAGGATGGCAAAGCTTTGCAGAATATCAAGGTGTTAACTCCTTGCTTTTCAATTGAAGAGTTGCATAGAGTTGGTGAGTTTATCAGGTATCTCTGTAATGCTGAAAATGAAGGGTATTATGAGATATCTCTGGATAATATTGAAGCTATGTATAAAAAGAATCAAGAAATCATACCTAAAGTGCTGGTATTTAAGAATGAGTCTGGCGTATTTCAGACAGGTAAGATACATAATTTATTCACAACCAATTTCAAGTCAGAACCTTTTTTTTGGCACATTACTAAATTTCTAAGAGGGTGGATTATAAAAGATTTAGATCTAATTAAATGATTCTGACATTTCAATGCTTCAACATTCCCCCAGATACCTTTCTAAAATACCATAAAGTATCTGTATTTTGTCTTTGAAATACTTTGAAGTAAATTTGTTTTCTTGAAATATCATAAAAAAGATGGTATTGCTATTGAGCAGATTGGAACTTCTCTTGAGATAAAAAGAACCAAAACAATGCATCTAGACCTTGGCTCACACCTAGGACCAGCCAGATGACAGTAAGATGCAGATCCAGTTAAGTCTGGTTCAGACTACCAAGTATCTTAATCCTTGATTATATCTAACTGCGAAAATTTTATCTTAATCCTTAATAAATTAAAGTTATAAAATCTTATACTGTATGAGAATAAATCAAACTTTACTGAAAAAGGATATACTTAAAACATTGTAAGTTAATGAGATGCTAACAACAACATTAGAAATAATTCCAAGCAGTTTCATTATATACCTAGTCATGCCATAAGTTCTGTCCCTCGTTTTCAAACAAGTGTAGACCTGTTAATACTTGTCCGATTGTTTACATTGTGGTGTCAGTTGATTAAGCGCTTTTCGGGTAATTACATATACCTCAGTTTGTATTGATCTCTCGAAGCATAACGATGGAGTGGGGCAAGGCAGAGAACCGTATTGCAGTGATAGCTTTACATAAGTGTAATCACAGTGCTAGTCAGATTTTTGAACTCTTACGCGGCCTTCAAATATCGCGTAAATTTGTGTCTAGGACCATTCAGCGGTACAATGAGACGTCCTCTGTTGATGACAGGCCAAGAAGCGGAAGACCTCGTCAAGTAAGGACTCCAGCAGCCATCAAAGCCGTAAAAGCCAGGATTCAAAGGAATCCACTCCGGAAGCAGAAGATCCTATCCAGGGAAATGAAGATTCCTGTCCGGACGATGTCGCGCATCATTAAACAAGACCTAGGGCTAGGGGCTTACCGGAGACGTACGGGCCAGCGACTTACGGCCACCTTGCGACACATCAGGGCGACAAGATCCAAGAAGCTCTTGGAGAGGTACGCAGCTGGGGGATTCCGAAAGATTTTGTTCACGGATGAGAAAATCTTCACCATAGAAGAAAAATTCAACCGACAAAATGACAAAGTGTATGCAAGGAGTTCACAGGAAGCTTCGGAGATCATTCCGAGAGTTGAGAGAGGCCACCACCCTGCGTCAGTCATGGTTTGGTGGGGGGTGTCCTACGAAGGGGTCACTCAGCTCCATTTCTGTAAACAGGGCGTGAAAACAAAAGCGGCAAACTATCAGAGCGACATACTGGATCCTATCGTCAAGCCTTTAAGTGGTACATTGTTTGCCAACCAACACTGGGTCTACCAGCAGGATTCCGCCCCCGCTCACAAGGCTAAGAGTACGCAGCGCTGGCTGGAAAGCAATGTGCCAGAGTTCATTGCTGCGGAAGATTGGCCCTCAGGGAGTCCGGACCTCAATCCTTTAGACTACAAGTTGTGGGACCTGCTAGAGCAGTTGGCCTGCTCCAAAGCCCACCGTAATATCGAGTCCCTGAAAGCGGATTTGATCCGATCAGCGGCAGCTATTCCTTTGGAAGCTGTGCGTGCAGTGATAGATGAGTGGCCCGCGAGATTGAAGCAGTGTGTGAAGGCCAAGGGGGGACATTTTGAATAAAACTGTTTGATTATGAATTCTAAAAATGTTGTCGAATAAATAATATCTTTCATATAAATATATCTTATCTTGTTTCATTTTTATCATGAGATTATCATGGGACAGAACTTATGGCACGACTACGTACACTGAAATTCCTACACATATTGTGAAATATCATCAAAATTACATGAAACACCTCAAAATACCAGTGAAATACTAAAAATTCCTTGTATTGCCTAAGAAATATCACACAATTTCAAGCATATATACACTGAAATTCCTCAGTGATTTCACCATTTACTTATGTCACACAATTGTGGAGTAAACTCATCCAGTGATATGATGAGACTCTTATCTTTGCTCTTGATATCACATCAGCTATGACATACTGCTCTCTAATGCAAACTTCCATCCTACGACTTACCAGAGAAGCGCTGAAGATGGGAGGCAGACTTCTTCTCTTGCCGCAAGTTAGATAGCTTATTGTCCTATTAGATCATGTTACATGACATAAGACTTGACAATATGAAATTTGCGTTTGAGCAAATATGCCGGATATCCGTCGTAATTGACGGGTTCTCCTCTTCATGCCACAATGACAGCGCGGATGTTCACCAGAGATCAGTGTTGGCTCCAGTGTTGTTTCTACAATATGTCAACGACCTTCTCTCCTGTATGATCAATCGATGCACAGCTTTGCTGATATAATGAATCTACATGCGGCAATCCAGAGTGCCAAGCCGACCTCTGCTAGTGAGCCGGAAAGAACACTAGTAGCGGCTTTCTTTCTCAGGAGATATCGAGGTTATTACTGCTTAGGAACGCAAGACTCTAGTACAGTTTAATGCTTCCGAAACATAGTACTGTTCCTTGATTAACAAGAAACGCCCTAGTGACATGTGGTTTCGATGTATGGTTGGGTTCTACCAAGGAGCCGCCGTTTCGGCCTGTTGGAGCCCAGATCGCGGCGGACTTTATTTGATACCAAAGCACCGCGAGTGCTAGGGTAGAGTCAGCTTTTGATCTGATTTTTGAGTTGCCTAAGATTAGTAGTACAAAGTCTGGAGGGTCTGTTTGGCAGAATTGTCGCGCGGCGACATCATGGAGTAGAGCTCTGAGGAGCAAAGCTCGTTGTCATAGCGCTAGAAGAGAGTCAGATCGTCGATGGCTCGTCGGTGTGAAAGGGTCGTGAGACCGTCTCTTAGGGAAGTGTCACCGACTCGTCGGACAGCCCTCTGGACAGCATCGAGTAAGGACAATGAAGTCGGGAAGGCATCACCCAAAGCATGTGACCAGTAGTCGAGGCTACGTCTTATCTGGGCCTTGTACAGAGTGACGGGGATATGTGGAGAAACATATTTCTTAGCCCTAAATAAAGAGCCTAGTTTTTTACCAGCAACTGCCGCGATTGATGTGTTCGTGTAGATCAAACATTCTGGACGTAAACTCACTCTACTCTCAGAATGTCGGCATGTAGGGTGAACTCGAAGTAACAATATCGATGATAAAATCTTCTTCACGAACATCTGCGGGATTAACAGCAGCATTGTCGCTGTTCACCACTATCTTCAGTCAAATCAACCCGCCATACAGTTCAAAAATCGAATTAACAAAGTGTCTTTAAGCTCCTTATAAGTCGTAGTGTCCCAGTATCTAAGCTGCCTACGCGGCTGCTTTAGTATAAGATAAAATTACTCGTCCGTATGACTAACGGGTATCAGGTTGGAAAAACAAGTATTGAGTAGACATTTTATCGTTACAGGTAACCGAAAATTGATCGTCAAGAATGAGAACACTTGCCCTCATTGCCACTCCACGATAACTCTCTATGGCAATAATTCAAAAGAGTGGTCATATACCAACGCATATACAATGAGACCAGTACCATATTCTCTGCGTCCAACCGAAACCAATATGGTAGCATTGAAAGGCCACATTTACGGATTCATTTTGAAAATATGGGAATGGAAGGAGCACTCCAGAAAACTTGCACCCGGCACCAGGGTGTACAAAAGAAGTGTCGCTGTACACAATGAAACCTATCACTTGAACAATGTTACTGAGAGGTTCATTCTCATAGTATTCAATGAGAACGATACGAGGATAATCAATGTCAGCATGACAGATCTTTGTATCATTTGCAACGGTCCTGACAGAACCAATTGTCAGCCTAATTATGAAGATCAGCAAGACTCTTTGTCAGTCGTCGACTTGGATGACGACGGAGCTTTAGAGTTGATCAGTTTCTACAGTACGTATGAAAGGAGGGATGAGGAAGGATATGAAGCATACTATTTAGTTTCTAAGTTGAATGTTTTCAGGCTCGAGAGTGAGCTACCAAAATTATACGGAAATAAGTAAAAGTCTAGTCTATGGATGGAAATGTCGCAAGTCGCAACATCCCCTAGGCTTTCGTATCTATATTGAAATGAAAAAATTATAGTGACCAATGTCTTGTAACAGGTGTTTAGATAGACACACTTTTATTAACTGAGTTAAATTTCTATGCTAGTCATTGCACTTTTTAGTGTTTCATACCTTTCTAGTCAGTCGTATTTGTTGCATGATTTCCAATGGCATAGGTAAACAGTTTTAGTTTGAATTATGATGTTTTTACTGTGATGATAGTTTTAAGTTTCTTTGTTGATTGTGAGTTTGTCTTCAAATATATCGTTTATCTTGTATAAGGTGTATTGCTCCCATTTTTCTATCATATCCACGCATTCCTGTAACGTGTTTGAGTATCTCTATCATTTAGGCAAGTTTTGAGGGCAAATGTGCGGAGAAATCTATGTTGTATGAAATATATGTCTAAGAGGCATACATATACTAACTCCAAAAAACTCACATACCGCTACCACCTCCAAAACCTAAAAAAATACTACAAACATGTTTTTGAAAATGATCAGGAGTCCTTGGAATGTCAAAAACGGAGTTTGAGCGATCTTTAATTTCTCCGTTTTTTGCCCTAGCTTTGCCGCCACTGGATAAATTTTCAAAAACTATAAAGCGGTTTTATCCAAATTTTCACAGAGGGTTACTAATGTAACTTTGTAAAGAAATTTGATCGAACTCCGAACGCTAACTTTCCTAGATATAGATGAGTCAAGGATTAGAGGATGGAAAAACAAACATACCGACAGAAATGAGTGACATGGTTACCAGACATACAAAAGGCAGCAGAACAGAATTCTGACGTCAACATGAGCAAATTGCAAAGATCATAACGAATCATTTGAGTCTTCAAGCATTTCTAGACTTCATATTATGCTTCCTTAGACTGACGTGTTTGGTTTTTGGAATGCTAAAGGTTTCTCAAAATATTCTGAGAGCTCTATCCAGCTTAATCTTGTACGCAAATGCTATAGAACTACAAAATCAATACAGTGCTGTCTAAAACAGAGGATCTGAAATATTAAGAAATATCTAACTCCCTACACTAAGAAAGAGTAAAACTTCAATGTCACCAGAGATTTTGGTTTTCTCAGATAGTTATGACCTATGCGCACAGTTCCAAGTGATTCGATGTGGTGTTGTGAAGACAACTGTATATGGATTATTTGTTTTATTCGTTAAATCAGATATAAAATTTTATAGAAATACACAAAATCAAAATGATACCTACCTGATAATATATAAAAGTTTTAGTAGCTTGCAAATAGTATCTTTTGACAGTCATCTGCTTGTTTTAAAATATTTTTTGGATGTTATATGGCATGTAGATCACGAAAAACCGTCACTCATTTCCGTCGGTCTGTCTGTCACCTAATTGTTGGCCGGTCCGAAATTTTACTATCCGTCGGTTGAGGAGCGGCGAAAAAACATGCCAAAAACGAAAAAAAAAAATGAAAACCATTTTGACGTTTCTTGGTCCTGATCATTCTTGAAAAATTTTAAAGTGTAAAAAAATTGGAGGGTGGGTCGCAATTTTTCGATGTCACTATATAAATACTTCTTCCAACCTCGGTAATTCTACGCACCGATTAGAGATATTTCACACATAGATTTCCCCGTGAATCTTATTATATTTTCTCCTCTTAAGACGGAACAAAGTGAACATTCTTACGGAATAACTTCATTTCGGGGTTGTTCTTTACATTGCTATCGCGCGAATATGCAGTATACGAGGGACTTGCATTTGTACATATACGGGGGCTAATATAGTATAGTAGTTGCTTCTAGTGTTCTTCGCCGTCCTACTGGGCGAGTCCTGGAGTTTTGTTAGAGGTATACTTCCAACTCCCAAACTCCCCCACAGTAAAGTAATTCAAATACTGGGATTTTAGCATTTATCTGGCCAAAAAAGCTCATAGAACTTCAAAATTAACTTAATTTACTTATTGTTGTTCAATTCATCAATTTTGTATTGTGATTCATTAAGGCTGCACGAACTCCCCCATATAGTTTATCCGTTATCGAATTTTCCACCCGTACTTTTCTGATCTGCGAACTTCCAGTGCCTTCGGAGACTAGAACATCCCTAGCATCTGCTCCTACCAGATCAGTCGGATCCCTAAACTCCTCGCTTGATAAGGAGCAACTATCACCTTTTGCTCGAGGTGATCCCGCAAGTCCGTAAGCTGTGATGATCCTTGGGTCATTCTCTTCACCTCAAAAAAAGTAGAGTTTGCCTGTCTTTAGACATTGTAGGTGCAATAGCTTGTCTTATTCTAATTCTTTTCACAATTTCATTACCGTTCAGGTTCTATATCTTTTCATAAGGCATTCAATCTGTAGGTGGGTATAGTCAATCCGCCAACTCCATCAACCCAGCGGATCGTCCATCGCGTACTGCGGTAACGATCCGCGATACGGTAACTACCGGTAGGGTACGGAGAAAATCACCATGGATCAACTGTATGGTACTTAATCCGTAGTATATCTATCGTCCGTGCTTCTAACTAATTTTTTCTTAGAGTGTTTACCTTGTGCTGAACTTAACGATTTATGAACACTGATGACGGCGTTGCGTAGGAAGTGAAGAGTCAACCCACTTGACGCAATTTTTTTATCTCGATACATTCATTTTCCCCCATGATATGACCTTTGAGCAAGACGCGTAATTCCACAACCGTCGAACATCGCCCTTGTTATGCTGGTGAAAACTCTACCAAATTGAAATCTGTTTAAATTTGCTGAAATATTATTTCTAAAGTATATATTTTCAGCTTCTATTCTAAGAATACAGATTTCCAAAGTTTTCTGTTTTCTGATAGTACAGACACTTTTCCATTGAATATTTTTAGAACGTCAATTGCTTCAGCTAGGTTAAAAATTAATTTTGCTTATAGTGTTATCACCGATCAACATGTCAAATATTAGCCTGTTATTAATGTTTCTGACCCTAAATCCTCTGAGGATTGGACTATAACGAAATTATGACGTACCGTCGAATTTGAGCGTAGTTTCATGTTTCATCAGAAGATGAGCGTCCCCGTCGTTTCGCCAGCAGTCGAGTCAGTTTAGCGTCGCGACGCATCCTGATGGACGGATGGAATGATTGTTGTGGAACATTAACGAGCAGTTTAGGGTGAAGTTTTAAATTTCCTGAAAGTTGTCTAAATATTATTTGAGCAGGTATGTAATGTATATTTACTTCATATTTCATTTGAAAACTTCCCACCACGGATTTATCGAAAACCACAGATTGGAAGAGAGACATGTCAAAAGATTTGTCAAGAGAGACAACTTTGTAACCAAAGACTATTTCACCCCCTTTCACCCTCTGCCCCCAGGGTCATCCCTTAAAAAATTTAAATGACAAGGGGTATTGAGTAATAGCTTGTTTCAAAGGTATTTTTCATTTTATTCGTTTTCAAGAAAATTAGAAAAATCCTTATGTATCTTAGTTTGTTCAGATAGAAAACAAAAACATACGAAAATATCACTTTTTATTTCAACAAGTGCTCAAAATGTTGCCCGGTATTGGCCAAACAATGATATAGGCGATGTTCAAATTCCTGACGGACATTTTCAAAAACATGTTGTGAGATATCATGGTAGCTATCGATGATGCGTTGACGAAGTTCATCCAAACTTTCTGATTGGGAAGTGAGCACAATATATTTCAAATGGCCCCATAAAAAAAAGTCTAATGGCGTCAAATCAGGAGATCTAGGAGGCCATTCTATAGGCCCTCTACGCCCTATCCATTTATCTGGAAATCCGTCGTCTAGCCATTGCCGAACCGGAAGAGCATAGTGAGGAGGAGCGTCGTCTTGCTGAAAATATATTTTAGCCTCATCAAGTATAGGATTTCCATCCTTTTCAGTTCGGTTTTCAATGGTTTCAGTGATGTGATTTTCCAACATCCAAATAAATGTGTCCATTCAAATTTCCATTAATTAACAATAGCCCAATCACTTTGTTTTCTAAAATGCCTGCCCATACATTAATTTTTTGGGAGTACTGGGTATGCCCTTCTACAAAAGCATGAGGATTTTCATTGCTCCAAGACATTCAGTTATGCCTATTAACAAATCCACTTAGATCAAATGTTCATTCATCACTGAAGCAGATATTCTTTACATATGAATGGTATTATCATTAATCGCTGCATTCATTTGTTCTCAAAACTCAACTCGCCTATCGAAATCATCTTCAGTTAACTTTTGCAATATTTTCATTTTGAATGGATGAAATTTATGGAGTTTAGTAACTGTGTGTACAGAACCTAATAAAATACCAGTCGCAGCAACAATTTTGCGTAATTGAAGTATTAGGATTTATTCCAAAATGACACAAACCTTCATACTTGAACGGCTTCATCCAAAACTCTCCGATGATCACATTTTTTTATTTGCAATAGATCCAGTTTAAGTAAATTTAGTAACAAGGTCCAGAACACACCTATGCAAAGTTATCTTCCCCAGATGTGTGGTGTTAAACACGACGGCAGTTTGCCGAGCACAGTGATTTTGGGCACCATAAATTAGAATCATTTCCACTCTTTCGGCTAGTGGGTAAACTATTTTAGAAGTAAAATCTGAATCAAATTAATTTTTACTATCCCAAGATGTCACAAAGCTAACTGACAGCAAATTAAATTCTTTATTTCCCTTAGCAACAAAAAAATAAACAGGTATAACAATAAATACAGTTCGCTCAGGATATCTGTGTTGATGAAGAGAAAGCGGAAAAAATTCGGGTTGTTATTTGGTTGTTGCCACGTCCAATCTTCCGAATTGCTGTTTATGTTGGTAGTTACCGTTTTTAATTATAATCGAATTGTAGATTTGGCAAACCCTAACGGACAACATTTTGAACACTTATTGAAATAAAAAGTGATATTCTCGCGTGTTTTTGTTTTCTATTTGAACAAATTAAGATAAATAAAGATTTTCTAATTTTCTCGAAAACGAATCGACTGATTTTAAAAAATTAAACGTCAAAATGAAGGACTTCGAAGGACCTTTTAAACAAGCTATCACTCGATACCCCTTGTCATTTAAATTTTTTAAGGGAATGACCCTGGGGGACAAGGGTGAAAGGGGGTGAAGTAGCTTCTGGTTAAAAAGTTGTCCCCTTGACAAATCTTTTGAATGTCTCAACGTTTTTTCATTTAATCAGTGGTTTTCGATAAATCCGTGGTGGGAGGTTTTCAAATGAACACCCTGTATATCTCATTCCACATATTTAAACGTCAATAGTCAACTTTTTATGCATTTTTAATTCAGCCTTGACACTGGCCTGCTATGCAAAATTTTGTAGTGCTATTTTTATTAGTTTTTGGTTTATGAATGAAGGTTACGAAAATAACATTCGTTTTTTCTAGCAACTCTAGTTTTAAATACAGGCAGATTCGAAGAGTATGATTTATTATACATTTCACTAATGTTGCGAACGTATATGCATGACATGGTATGAAAACTTAGCGCAACTCTATCAACCATGACGAAATGCTGCAAGCACATTACCTTGGTGGGATGTGTGGTAAATGGAGAATCTCACACTTCGAGCAGGAAAGTCTGATACAGCAATGCTGTCGAGTTTATCTACCGAGTGGCTACAAAAGCTTTCACCTGTCGTAAAAATATTACAAACAATCTCTGCATCGGTTAAATGACGTTTTTTCCTCATAGCTATGGTTTTAATAGTGAGAAAAATGATTAATGTACTGGTTGAAACTAACTGAATATGCATCGTCACCATAAACACGGGTAGCTTAAAGGTGAAAAAAGCCACAACGACTATCAAACCTGAAATTGCAGAAAAGTTGTCAGCGTACAAAGAAAAAAATGGCCTGGATTAAACCTCATATAAATTCTATGTAATATTTAGTACCATAATTCAAGTAAAAAGACAATATCAAACAAGCAATTATTTTTGATAGGATTTTCAAAAACTTCAATTCTAGTGTTTCACCACCTTCTAAATCGATTTGTTTTAATATCATTTTCCATAAAAGGGATATAGTCCAGATTAAAGAAACAAACTACCAAATTACAAGACAGTAGCAATATTGATGCAATAGCGTACTATCTAAATATTAAACAAAATTAACAAACTAATGGCGCGAAAACTTGGAAGGACTAATTACCATAATCCATTTAGCTTATTGAAGATATACATATAAGTATCATTCATCGATTATATCTCCGGTGGATATAATTGATTGCATGCGACTCTCCCCTTTTGCTTGTTCATGACATCTTCGCACGAATCCAATTAGGTACAATTCATAACTGTGTATTGACTTTATTTGTGACCAATTTAATTAAGAACAAACAATCTGGAATTATCCTTAGAAATACCATTTAGTCCAGGGTCACATGTACCACGAAATGCTCAACACAGGTGAACGGATGTAAGTGCGACACACTATAGATACATCTACTATACCCCATTCGTAGTCCATTTACGCTCAGATAAAACACAACATGCCCAAAAGCGAGATTGTACAGGTCCGTATTTTCCTCAGTGGTCTTGAAATAATCAAACAAAATGAATGTTTATTTTTATAGAAAGAAGTGCATATACTTTTCACAATTCTTTATTCACTGGAAATACCTGAATTACTGTCCGAATGGTTAATATTAATATTTATAATTATTACAGGTTCAACTTGAAGATCGATAATATTATCCAGATCCCATATCTTTGTTTCGATAGTCTCTTGAACGTGACGGATGCAATCTTTCCAATGGTTTGTCGTTACTCTGTTGACACCTTCATGAACAAATTTTTCACGTCAGAAAATTTGAATGTTCCATTGTTTGAAGTCACATAGTTTTTTTATATTTGCCCAAATCATTTCAATGCTATTTAATTCGCAGTGATAAGGGGGTAGCCTTAAAACGGTCTTATTTTGGTTTTTAACCATTTCGTCAATAATATTAAGATTATATTTATATTTGTGCAGCCTGACTGGATGGATAAGTTCTGCATTCACCATATTTTCTTTGCAACTAACGTCTTTTGATAGGAGCCATTGTTGAATTTCTGCCTTTCTTGTGGACGTTGTGGGAATTTTTTCTAGTTTTCTAGTGTGGTATGCAGCATTATCAAGTACAATGACGGCATTGTCATCAAGCTTTGGGAGCGTTTCTTCAAACCATCGTTCAAATTAACTCCCGTCGTTTTCTTTGACGCATAGGGCAGTGGACACTGCCAATGTGACAGATAACAAATCGTTTTAATTTTCCTGGAAATAATTATTTCATATCGTATTCCTGAAAACTAGTAATAATAATATAATCAGCGCATCTAACAGTTGTTGATTCCAAATCTACCAGATACAACTAAGTTTAGTGTAGCTAAGTTTTCAGCGTGGGCTCATAGATTCAGTCTACTACGTTTACAACACAAATGACGAAATGGTTAGATACACGTACCTGACCAGTGGTTAGTCCATCTAAGAACGCTTGTCTTGCTGATTTAATTGTAGAGTCAGCCCAAACTTTATGTTTTGTCCTGCGTTTATAAAGGTTTCATCCAAGTAATAAATCTTCCTGCATTGGTCGCGGTATTTCCTTATTGTTTTTAAATAATGTCTCCTCCGTGAAATAAACTATTCCGATCAAAGTTATCAACTGTATGTATGCAACAGCTTCGTGTAATGCAGCCTCTTGTGTGGTGGAGACAATTTTTTGTTTTCTTTATATTCTTCAACAATGTTGAAAATTGTCTTAGGACATAAGCCTTTTTTTGTTCGTCACTCGTCTTTCAATATTATGAATTTTTATTTCAGGATTCTCTAAAATTTCGCTCTTATAAACGTTAAGGACAATTTCTTTTGCCTGAATATTCAAATGTCCCTTCTTGTCACGTTTTCTGGGAGCAGGAATCACTGAAGAGGAAGCATGGCTGAAGGAAGCATTGGGAGAAATATTCTCAGTTTCGTCTGTTGTATCCGTAGACGACATGCTAACGTATAAACATACGGTATGTATGCACCGAATATGAACAGCAACTGCCGGCGTCGGCGTGCCGGCGATACCCCGAGCCTGAGTTATATTCTGTCAAATCCTGCAATTGTTCGTAGATATATGGCCGAATAGATATTGCAACGCTCAGGCGGGTGCCGCTTTGCCGCGCTGCATCTTTGTTGTGCCGGGGCGTAAATGGACTACGAATTC